CCTAATGATAGAAATGGGGCCACTTTTACTTTTCAGTATGTAACTTCCTGGGCTATTTGTCTTAAATCATACAACGTAATTATTTTATTTTAAAGTTAGTAAGTAAACAGTTTTTTTTTAAATTAAAAAAGACCTTGCTCTGCAGAAAATATTCCAGAAAGGAAGACCCTTACTTTTCAATGTTGTGGAAGGTCATTGGATTTGGAGACAGAAAATTAGATTTTAGCCCTTAAGCAAGTCATTGACTTTTTTCTGTCTATCAGTAAAGTGGAGCCAATGTAGTGTCCCGTTACCTTGTTTTGAGGATCATAATGATGCATTTATCTCAAAGTCCTTGGCCAACTGTACAATCCCCTAGATAGGAAGGAAAAAAATACACTGATGAAGAAGGGAAAAGTTTGGGCCCCTAAGAGACCCCAAGATGGATGTCAGAGTGTCTGGGCTAACATGAACTTAGCTATGCTGTCCCCAGGCACACCTGCTGGCTTTTAGGTTTCCAAGGGCAGAAAGAATTAATCTCTGAAGTTAAGAGTGACTCATGGGAGAGAGGATTTGTCCTGGGTTTCTTCAATTCATGAGGGAGTTTTTCTTGGAATTCTTTATCTGCCCTGTTAGCTGGAAATAGAGTACATACTATAAGAACAAGATTTCTGCTAGTCTAATGCTTCCCAGAAGTCTTTATAGTCTTTGTTTATAGTGTTATCTTAGGAGCTGTGTGTTACTTATTTGTGACTAATGACAGTAAGAGAGTATCATAGTCTACTGTGGTGCGTTATCATAAAGCATTACAAATTAACTGCTCTGGAAAATAAGCCAAACAAGGGCATTTTTAAGGCAGTAGCAGCCTTGGAATCTTTTTATAGCTCACTTATGCTTATTAGCTAATCTGCTGAATCTAAAGTGCATGCACTTAACAGCATTCCAGTGAATGGAACCCCTTCAACTGAAATAGCCACAGTGACAATACAGAGGCATGGGAGGGGAGGAACGCTTTATGAGTGCTCATCATAATTCCAGGTGGTGAGAGTGCAGAGTCAGGCAGGAGTGGCCATTTCACCCTTAGCAAGGCTAATGTGCAGCTGGGGCCTCTTCTTCCTCTTCAGTTTTGGCAGCTGCAGAGAGCGACCTGGAGCAGGTCCTGGACCTGGGAGGGGCATGCTTTCCTTGGCTGCAGGGCTTTCCCACTTCCAGCCACTGAGAATCACAAGCCCTGGGAGTCAGAGCTTCCCACGTAAAAGACGAAACACTGAGACATGGAGAGGCGAAATGTTTTATCCAAGGTTGCCCAGGCCTACAGTGGCAGCGCTGGGGTTAAAACCCAGGTCCTCTCACCACCAGTCCTCAGGATGGAGATCTCTTTCTAAGTCACCATCTCTCTCCCTACCTCCTGGATCTGCCTCTCTTTCTCCTCCAAAAAAATGACATCAGGTTCCCCTGGGGCTAGAGAATCTGCAGGGCGTGAAGGCACTGGGTCCTCCGGAGGCCCATCCTGGGGGAGGAGGAGGAGGTCCCACATTAGCACATAAGCTTGGAGTTGGTATGAGGCAATCTCTCCACCAACCAAGAGGCAGGGAATAGGAAATTCAGTCGGTGGGACCTGAACCACTGGAGGGCCCTGAGGAGCTGCAAGGAGGTGCAGAGGGGAAGATAAGCATAGAGAGGAGATGCAGGGGCACCCCACCCCGGGCTCTGACTGGGCAGCCCTTTGAAATGTATTCAGTTTGATGCAGTGAAACAGTGCCTGCATTGCATCTAGGGGACGTTGAGTTTCTGATGCATCTAGAGGTCTGAAAACGAAAAATTCATCACCATCATCTCTTATTGCTGTCCTTCTGGCAGTATTTTGGAGTGGACATGAAAATTCATTTTGGGTGACCCCAGTGTTCTCTGTTCTTTGTTGGTTTAAATTAACAACTATACCATCCAGCCAGGTGGAAATTTCTTTATGGGGCTAAATGAGACAGGGAGAAAAACAGGGAAGAATACACACACACACACACACACACAACTGAATCACTATGCTGTACACCAGAAACTAACACAACATTGTAAATCAGCTATACTTTAATAAAAACTAAATAAATTAATTAAAAATGGTATGACTTAAAAAAAAAAAAGAACTGAATGAAGAACCGGTGAATTCAGGGGTGAAGAGGGAGCAATTATCCCTAAAGTCACATGAGACAATCTAGATAAAACCACCTACCACCTAGCCAGCCACCCAGGAGTTTCTTGGTAATGCTCTGATTGTGTCTGAGTCAAGATGGATTCCATCTGGGCAGAGGAGGTAAAATTATGATGTTGCTAAAGTTTCTCTCCACTCTGGGGTGGGCGTAGGGTTTCCTTCTCATGGACTCCAACACTCAAAACTTGCTTTTGGGAACAGATCTGGTAAACCTTTTATACTGGGGTGTAAACGAAGGATAATATCTCAGAGCAGCAGTCCACAGAGTGGACTCAAGGGGCTAATAGTTGTTCCTTGGCAAACAGAGTTCTGTAGTTCAGTTTGTGAAGAATCATTACCATGTTTTCCTTCTGGGGAGTCACAGTATTTTAAAGGCTCAGAGAAGTTGTGTGGTAAAGAAGCTGCCTTTACTTTGTCTAATCCAGCATTTCACAAACCTCTTTGACTATAGCATTCTCTTTTTCACCCCCATGGTATATCTATTATCATCTTGAATAAAGCTTGTTGGGGAATTTAGGAATAGAGTATGACTCTCAGGTGTTCATATCCTTTTGTTTTCTATTTTAATTTTATTGTGGTGAGAACACTAGGCACGGCGTCTGTCCTCGGATGGGGGTGAAGTGCACAGTGCGAGTTGTTGCCTGGGTCCATGTTGAGTGGCAGCTCCCTAGAGCTCACTCATCTTACTTAACTGAAACGTTATGCCTGTCAATTTATAACTCCTGAATGCCCCCTTCCTCCAAACCCTGGGAACCACCATTCCAGTCTCTAATGTTAGAAACCACATACACGTGGAATTGTACAGTGCTTGTCTTTCATATTCTCATCTGGGGATAAAAATATGAACTTCTAATTGTGGCATCTCAGCCAAAGGGCAAGGCGGTGTGGGCCCCCGAAATCACAGGCATTGACACTCCTCAGTAGTCGGCTTCTGCTAACCCTCCAAGTTCTCCTCCCTGTCCCTGCAGCTGAAGTGCCTCAGCCAGGGCACACCCTGCAGCCTGCTGGCCTCTCTCACCCCAGCCCCACCTCTCCTCTCCCTCCAGGCAGACATCTTCTCTGGGGCCATATTCATCAACTTGGCCTTGGGCCTGGATCTGTACCTGGCCATCTTTCTCTTACTGCTAATCACTGGCCTTTACACAGTCACAGGTGAGTCCACTCAGATGATTCAGCCTAAGCCCAGCTCGGGGTTAGGCACTTGCGAGGGATAAAAGGAAGCAGGAGGCAGCTTCTCCTCTGGAGGAAGAGATACACCCAGGAAATGTTCGAGGAAACAGTTACAGGTGGCCCCAGAAAACTCCAGCGTTGGCTGGAATAGTCAAGACAGCTTCTTACAGGAGGTGGGGCAGGGCTTGGCCTTATACGTTGTGGAGAGAGCTTGGCTGAGTAGGGAGAAGCAGGGAGGCAGTGCCAGGTGCAGGGGTGGGTGGGAATAAGGGAATAGAGTCAGGGGTGGGTGTGTTGGGGGGGCGGGGCGGGGCAAACAAGCAGAGGTGTTTGGCTGGGTGGTGGGGGTGTGGGTGGTAAGACCTGATAGTTCAAACGAGGTCACAGTGCAGGGGTCTCAGAAGCCACACAGAGGCCTTGGATTCGATGTGACAGAGACTGGGAGGTACTGTAGGGAGGAAGGGAGGGAGTGGCACCCAGAGATTTCAGAGGAAGGCTCGAGGTGAGTGGAGAAACTGGGGACACGAATACCCACTGGGGTTGCCTTTGCAGAGGTGTTACTCTATCACTGGGGGAAGAGGGTCAGGACAGAACTTATTGCTGAGCTGGAGCCCCATAGCTCTGGGGACAAGAAGTTACACAGATGGTCTGAGGAAAGAGAGAGTGGACATGCAAGTAGCCCTTTGAAATGGGTTGATTTGGTAATGTCCCTTCTTGTAGAAATGTCAGCTCTTTGCTCTTTCTGGCCTTCATTTACCTTGGCCGACTCCTGAGCCATCTCCTGTGAACTTGAAACTGTCACATCAAGCTCTCCCTCCTCAAACAGGGAGAAACATTCTCCTTTCCCCAAGGCCTTCCCAGCATTCCTGTGAAGAGTAGAGAGGCTGGAACGTGCTGGGTGGCAGGCTGCTGCAGCAGGACAAGAAAGGGAGGGAAGGAAGGGAAGGCAGGCAGGTGACTGAGGGGCGTGCTCAGAAGGTGTGCAGAGGGAGAGTGGTGGGATGGAAGAAGGAGGCAGGCTGACAAGATTGCCCTTCTACCTGAGGTCAAATGCATTGTCTCCTTTGCCTGCTTAGGGGGCCTCGCAGCTGTGATTTACACGGACACCTTGCAGACGGTGATCATGCTCGTGGGGTCTTTAATCCTGACTGGCTTCGGTAAGTGGGGCTGGGCCGGCTGAGGAGGCGGGGAGGCAGAGGTAGAAGCCCAGGGAGAGAAAAGTGAGTCCAGCCTCCCTGCCTGCCACTGACCCAGGCAGTGAGCTGGACGTGCTCTGTCCTTCCCCTGGGAGTGGTCTGGCCTGGACTGGCCCTGACTGTGGGTGTGCAAGGAGCACCTTCCCCACCCTGCGGTCTTAGGCTGGGCCCAGCCCAGACAATACCTGATTCCTTGGTGCTCTCGCTAGGGAGTCTGGGCCAGTGGGCCCCGATGTGGGCCTCTGATGTCATAGTCTTCTCTCCACAGAGAAACTGGACCATTCTGTGGATGAGAAAGCTGAGGCCCAGAATGGAACACTGACTTGCCCCCATAGTGAGGGTTCTAGCTATAGGTTTCTCAGGCATTCATGGGAAGAAACTGCTATGAAGAGTTGTGAGTTTCACGATGTTGAGTTTTGTTACTGATGTTTTCCAGCTTTTCACGAAGTGGGAGGGTATGACGCCTTCGTGAAAAAATACATGAATGCCACTCCAACTGTGGTTTCTGATGGAAACATCACCATCAAGGAAGAGTGTTACATCCCGAGGGCCGACTCCTTCCACATCTTCCGGGATCCGCTCAAGGGAGACCTGCCATGGCCCGGGCTCATCTTTGGACTGTCCATCCTTGCTCTGTGGTACTGGTGCACAGATCAGGTACCCAGGCTGGATGTGTGGCGAAGACAGGGTCTTCTTCTGGGGGCCATAGAGACTCCTGTCCATCTGTGGCTTGTGAGGTTGGGAAAGGTAGGGCAGGACTCGGGTGGTCTGAGGGTTGCCCAGCCTCGGTGACCTGGGAGTGTCAGGCCAGAGACTCAGGATGGTGGGGGAAGCTGGGGTGGTCAGACTGTGTTGTGGAGTCTCTGGCTCACACCCCTCCCTCACTGGGCTTTCCCGGGCAGGTCATTGTGCAGCGCTGCCTCTCAGCCAAAAGCATGTCACACGTGAAGGCCGGCTGCATCATGTGTGGGTACCTGAAGCTGCTGCCCATGTTCCTCATGGTGATGCCGGGGATGATCAGCCGCATCCTGTACACAGGTGATGGCTTCTCCTGCACTCGCCAGCTTCTCTCCCACTTTCCTGGCTCCAAGTCACTTGTAAAGCTCTATTGTTCTCTGCTCCATTTTCACTACCTTCTTCCTTTTTTTGTCATGATTACGAAGAATTATTGTCCCTCTGCCCCAGACAGTGAGCAACTAGTGGTCATGGAACCTGTGGAGTTGTCTTCCCTAGTTCCTTACATTGGCACTTACTTTTCCCCTTTTGCAAATTCTCTGAAGTCTTGACATGCCTCCAGCTATAGCTGCTTCTAGCTAATTCTTGCTCACTTTTTGCTCTGTCCCCTGCCCTCCCCCACCAGGCTATGGTAGTGTGTATGATGTCTTTAATGTCAAAGGACCCCAGCCAGTCTCTAACTGCCTGCTGCTCAGAGCTCTGTTTCCTGGACCATTTCTTTGAAGGGGCCCTGAGCCTTGCACTTTGCTACCCAGGGTGATAGGTTCTTCCTTGGCCCTTTTATGGCCTCTCCTGCATGGCCATTTGCATGTGGTGTTTTGATCAGCCATCATAGATCAAAACTATTTTCTGGAATATAAAGTAATGGTGAAAAAGAGAGCATGACAGAGTGCAAATTTGGTGAGCGCCTTTCAAACGAAGACAAGACAGTGTGGGGGCACTTGTCACTGGCTTCATGCTCCTATACTGGCTCACCTGTCATGAGAAAAATATATGTAACTGAATAGTTTAAATTACGATGGATGTAACACACATGTACATATTTGAGATGGTGCTGTGATGAATCAGTGCTGTTTGGGGCAGTGCTAAATGATATACCTACAGTAGGTACCTAATAAATGCTTGTAGATCTGAAGTCTATAGAAGTTTCTAGAATTCTCACCAAGTCTCTAGATCATGTTCCCCTCCCCGGCTACTGCCTTTCTATCTCTATGCCAGATTTTCCACATCTTGGAAGTACTACCCCACAGCCCTCCCACTGGGGAATTCCTCTGTGGTCTGAGCATTCAACCCTACTTGCAAGAGCTGCTTAAAACAAAACCTCGAAATTAGCAGCCACAAGTCACTGTGATCTTCAGGAGAAACAAGAAAATAGTTACTGCTGAGCTGCAGACTTTAGCTAAAGTCTAAAGACCATGCCCTCTCCTTTCCTACCCTGAGCATTTCTTTGCTTCTCCCTCCTCTGCCCAGGAACTGTCTTTCCTCCCTAGTCAGAGCTTGGGATGGTCAGGCCCTTTAGGGGTGGCAGGGTAGGGGTGGCATAGAATTGCTCTGCAGGAGCTGCACTCTTTGTGGAACCATGGCAGGGCCGTGTGCAGGAATGTCCTGTTTGAAGCCTTATTGTAAGAAGGTGAAACTTAGAAGTATTTTCTTGATGTTGACATGACTCTTCATCCCTTTCCAGACAAAGTTGCCTGCACCGTCCCCTCAGAATGTGAGAAATATTGCGGCACCAAGGTTGGCTGTACGAACATCGCCTACCCGACCTTGGTGGTGGAGCTCATGCCCAATGGTGAGAGTTGTCCTTTCTGGTGGAGTCTTTCTTGGCAGACTGATTTGGCTTGGACTCTGCATAGATGTCTGTGGGCCTTCTGGGGCAAAGCCGCTTCTGAGCCTGGGAGCTGGTAGGGAAAGCCTCATTCCAGGTATCCTCAGTTTTTGAACATGTCCTCCCTTAGTGGAAAGAGGACATCTGGCTTGGTTGGGCTCTATGAGTCGTGGTACTCGCCCATCCGTCAGGCTTGGAAAAGAGATGATCTGAAAATGTGTTGGGGAAAACCACAACTTTTCCATGCTCATTCAGAAGGCTTTTTGAAGGTCAGCAGACATTAACATGAAGGTTTGAACTAAGTGGCGTTTTACCTGGAGAATGAATGGACTTCTAAGCTGTTTCAAGGAAGAACATGGAGAGAAAAGCAAAGAGTGATTTTAGCTCTAGAATGAGGAGGTTCCAGGCAGTAAGTAGATGGGATGCAGGGGTCTTCTCACTACAGAGAGTGAGTTATCCTAGGAGAGTGAATAGAGTCCAGAATAGTTAGAGTTTTGGAGTAGACCTGTGGGGTTACCTTTCATTTTCATGTTGAAGAAAAGTCTAATTCTGGCTCAAGGGATGCAAATCTTGTTAGGTTAGGGGGTCTCAGGAGACCAAAAATTCAAAGATATTGATCAGGAAAATTTAGAATAAACATAAAATTTTATTACTGAAAGAAAACATGGAGATCATCTAGTCAAATCTGCTCATTTTACAGTTGGGGAAACTGAGGCCTATGGAGAGAAAGTGACTTTTCCAGGGCCATGCAGGAATTCAGTGTCTGGCATGGTTCACTCCTGCTCAAGGCTGGAATTGAGGAATTTGGAATTTTCTTTTTTAAAACAACAGACTGGATATTTGACCTTGGGCAAACCCTTTGCCTTCAACCTCTATAAAAATGGGAGTAATGGTTAACTATTCCCCTGAGCTGGGCTGCTCATTAATTGAGGTTGCAATTAGCAAGAATCAAATGGCTCTGTTAGAGTTCTGGCTGAGATTACACTGGCCTCTGTAGGGGTGTTTATGCTATTTCCTTAGACTGCAGATCCTGGGTGAGGATTGTAGCTCTGAACACTGTGCTGGAGTGGCTTGTGCATGACAGAAAGCAGCGTGGCACATAGGACAATGAAGTGCTGTGTTTACGTGTACCATTGCCATTCCTCACTTTCGGCTGGAATCTGGCTTCTGTAAACACCAAATTCCCCTATGACCTCCCTATGTTAGATCAAATGAATATTTTCCATTCATCCCTCAGTAGCACTTGGCATTATTGATCACTCATCTTTCTTGAGTTATTCCCTTCTCTTGGATTCCGTAACACTATCCTCTCTTGTTTGTCTCCCCCCCCCATCCTTTCCAGCTGTTCCTTTTTGATTCGGTCTCCTTCACTCAACCAGTAAATATTCCCCCACTAATCCATCACCCAATTTTGTCCATTTTATCTCTTAAATATCTCTCATATTCGTCTACCTCCTTCTCTTGTTACCTCCATCACGCCACTCTGATATACCACTATTTCTTGCCTAGACCCCTGTAAAATTATGTTCAACAAATATTTGTTGAGTGAGTGAAGGAATGTGAGTTTGATAAAGGTGTGGTGCAGAAGGGAGAAATCCATCCCAGCTTAGCAATTAACTGGTGAAGTAACCCTGAGTGAATGGCAGAACTAGGGCTGCTTGAAATAGACCTTTGTTTTATTCACTGAAAAATGAGAGGTGAGAAATATAAAGATGACCTTTATAATTCCTTCTATATCTCCAATTATGTGTGGTCTGCATGATACACACTCAAGAAGAGCCATCAAAAAAGACTTCCTAACAAATGACAAAATAATTTGAATAGGCAACCTTTGCTTTTCTTCTTGTGAGGCTGTAGATGAAGGTGAAACTATAAAATTATTTACAGATAACAACACCCAGAGGAATGATATGTTCCAAAGAGATTTCAAGAAGCAGGAATATTGACTCAAATCTAATAAGCTGAAGTTAAACAGAGATATATGTCAAGTTCTCTTACACAGGAATATTACAAGAAACTGAAGATGTTTAGCTTGAAGAAAAGGGAATTCAAGAGAATGCGAGTTGTCTTTTGAGTATGTGAAGGGTGGTAAAGTGGTAAGACCACTTCCGTTGGGTAGTGTAAGGACAGTGTCTGAGGCTGTCAAGAGGCAGATGTCTGCCTAATCGGGACTGTCCAAAAGGCAGCAGATTCCTGTTGCCGGAGGATTTAGGCAGAAGAAATGTGGAAGGGATTCGTGTATCAGATGGATGGTAGACCTTAGGTGACCCCTAAGGTTACTTCTGCTTCTGGGACTGTACTCTCAGTGGTAGGTGGGCCTTCAGCGTGGCCTGGCCTTCTAGCCTCAGTAGGGACAACCTTGTGCTCTCCTTGGTTAGTATATTCACAGGGTTGTGAAACCTCACCACAATCAATGTTAGAAAATTTTTATCACTCCCCAGAGAAATCCTGAACCCATTAGCAATCACTCCATATTTCACCCTAACCACCGCCAGCCCTAGGCAACCAACCACTAACCCACTTTTTGTCTCTATGTATTTGCTTACCCTGGACATTTCATATAAATGGGATCATACAGTATTTGTCTTTTTGTTTCTGGCTTCTTTCACTTAGCATAATGTTTTCAAGGTTCATCCATGTTGTAGGCATGAATTAGTATTTAATTCCTTTTTACAATAATACTTCATTGGATGGATACACCACATTTTGTTTATCCATTTATCAGTTGATGGACACTGCATTGTTTCCACTTTTTGGCTATTATAAATAATACTGCTATGAACATCCAGGTACAAGTTTTGGTATGGACATGTGGTTTTTGTTTCTCTTGGGTAGATGCCTAGGAGTGGAATTGATGGGTCATATGTTAACTCTTTGTTTAACTGTTTGAGTAACTATTTACCACAGTGACTATACCATTGTATTTCACTGCCAGCAATGTATGAGGGTTCCTGTTTCTCCACATTACTACCTGTACTTGTTATTATCTGTCTTTTTAAAAATTATAGTCTCCCTGGGGGGCTATAAATAGTATCTTATTGTGGTTTTGATTTGAATTTCCCTGATGTTGAGCAGCTTTTCATGTGATTATTAGCTACTTTATCTTCTTTGGAGAAGTGTCCATTTAGATCCTTTGCCCATTTTAAATTGGGTTGTCTTTTTATTATTGAGTTGTTAGAATTCTTTATATGTTCCATATAATAGACCCTTATTAGGTATATGTAAATATTTTCTCCCATTCTATGGGCTATCTTTTTACTTTCTTGAGAACCTCATTTTTTGAATCTTAGTTTAAATATTTCTTCTGTATCATGAATCTTTCTAGTAAGAGAGCTTATAAAAGTCCTCTTGGATGGACACACACACACACACCATCAGCAGCATCTCCACCATCACCACCATCATCATCCAGTTGCAATGCATTTACCTCATGTATGCATTGTCCCTAGCTCTTTGTTGACTGCTATGGACTTTACACAGTATAATTTAAAGCCACAGTCTATTCCTTAAAACTTCTAATCTTTCTGGGGAGATAAGTCAGAGAACATGGCATGGTTTCAGGAAGCAAAAAGCCTTGAGTCCTCACACTGAGCACAAAAGAGCCGAGGTGCTGTGTGTGCCACTCAGAACCTCCTTCTCTTCCAGGACTGCGAGGCCTGATGCTGTCGGTCATGTTGGCCTCTCTGATGAGCTCCCTGACCTCCATCTTCAACAGTGCCAGCACCCTCTTCACCATGGACATCTACACAAAGGTCCGGAAGAGAGCGTCTGAGAAAGAGCTCATGATTGCAGGAAGGTAAATGCAGCTCCCCCTGCTGTGCTGCATGAAGGCCTGAATGATCAGAGAGTTTCCCTCAAGCTGGGGAAGACTGGTAGATGCCTGCGTAGATTGGGAACAACCTCTGAGGCTAGTTACATTTGTTTTCAGTGGCATTTAAACTGGAGAGCATCAAACAATGCCCTTCTGGAGTGTGAAATGACATCAGAGATCATTTAATCTAGCCCTCAGTTTATCAGTGAACAAAATGAGGCTCATCCTGCCTAAATCCAGGAAGCCTGGACAGCAGAAGAGCCAGGACTGGAACCCACAGCCAACTGAGTCCTTGTCTGATGCTTTTTATACTGTCCCACGCTGTCTTCCTCAGCCCTGCCTATAGCAGCTCTTCTCACTGGACACCTTTTAGGCCCACATGCCTCTGATGCCTTGACCCTTGGCAGGACCATTGTGAGGGTCAGGTGATACTGTTTCTGTGAACATGCTTTGTGAAGTCTAAAACACCAGGCTGTGTGCACATTTGTTATTGCCAAATGGGCTAATAGGCACAACAGGATACTGAAGGCAGGAAACACTGATACATGGGTCAGAGGTGCCCATTATTGTGATTATCCACGGAGCAGATGCCCTGGACAGAGGGCTAGAAGAAGCTCTGCTGTGTCTCTCCATGGGGCTAAGGCAGGCCACCTCCTCAGGGCAGGGGAAAAGTCCCTGGGATGTCAGTCGAGGGAAAGTTTCCCAGTGAGTGCAGGAGGGGTATGGGCTTCCACCTCGTAAGTCTCACGAGCAAGATTAGGGCAAAGGAAGGAAAGGAAAATAGGCTACTCAGGTGACGAGACACCTGGCACCCAGGGGAGGTCTGACAGGGTCGGGGTCTACCACTCTGCTTCGCAGGAAGCAGCACCATTTCCCTGACTGGATTTTCCTTAGAAAGAAGTTTACTGGAGTTTTCTGCTATTTATAAGGCTCAAGATGCAACACGGGAAGAAAACCATTTGCTTTGCTCAGGGCTGGACCTCTTGGCCCTGAGATTATATCGGGCCTTACATTTTTTGTGCATCCAGTGTCTGCTGCCCCGGGGTTTGTCCCTGTTCTAGATGAGCTTACAGTTACATGAAACAGTTCCAAAGTTTGCTGTGGGACCTGTAAGTGCAGTCACAGTCTCAGAGGCGGGAGAGATGAGTGTGCCATGCAGTAGTTGGGGAAGGCTCCTGGTGGGGGTGGCCCTGACCTGCGTCCAAAATGGTGGATGGGACCTGGACAAATGAGAAGCAGTGGGAAAGCATTTTAGAGGGAGGAATATGTGAGCAAAAACACTGCTTTGCAAAGGTTAGTTTAAAACTCTGGTCTTACATTCAAGTAAGAGAGGCAAGAGAATCACAGCCTTTTTTCCAGTTGAATCAGGAGGTTGTAAGGAGCCCTCCAGTCTTTTCAGGACTTGAAGTGAAACTCAAAAAGGAGGAGAGCTGAAAACACCTGGTAGTGTCCCACTCTATCTCGATGGTTCCTTTGTCAACTCTTCTTAGCTTGTGTTTTTAACTTTATTATGAAGACAGAGAAGAAGGAAAGGGAAGAGAAAATAAAAATTAGGGTCCTTACTATTTATTGAGTGCCTACAATTTGCCAAGCATTTTACTACAGCTAACCCTTATTCCAGCCTTGTAAGGTTGGTCATATTATTCCCAGTTTACAGATGGAGAAATTGAAACTTATAGAGGTTAAGCAAGGTGTCCTGTGTCACACAG